AGAATTGAACTAAAACAAAACCATCAAGTTCTGTGAAAAATATGTGGTCAGAGGTATGGTTAGCCTAAGGATTCACTTGATTTAAATATTAAAAATTAATTTGGATTTAAAAATTTCGTCTTCATTACCATACTTTTCTATTAGAAATAGATATCTTGTCATAGAACACAAAATTCTTATTTAAACATATTTTATAATATTGTACAGTTTACCAAAAACACAAAATTCTCACAATTTATTACACTTGCTTCTTCATCAATATATAGAGGTGGATATTTTAAAGACCTTGATGCCAGGACTTTATATATCGAGATAAGGAGAAACTATATCGAAAAATAATAACACAACACTTTCCGAATACTCCTCATACGTCCCATGTCAGTGGAAAACCTTAATTTTTAAAAAGACTATCTGAAGAAGTGGTGTTTCTAACAATATAAAATTTTTGTGCATAAATATTTATTTCTATATTAGACACAACACTTTTCGAATATTTATTGTACGTCTTATATCATGAAAAACCTTAATATCTTCGAAAACACTATCTGACGAAAAGTCATTCTTCAGAAAACACAAATTTTGGTGCTGAAATATTTATTTATATATTAGGAACAACACATTTCAAATGTTTCTGTTCTCAGGGAATAATATTAACCTTCAAAAAGACTATTTGAAGAAGAATTATTTTTCACAAAATACAAATTTTGGTCCTGAAATTTTGTTTAAATAAAGACGAAATACCTTATAAATTATAGCTAAATAATAATAATGAATTAAATTATATAGTACGGTATTGTACATATAAAATGCTTTAGCTTACAGATAAAAATAAAATAAAAATAATAATTAAAATAATATAGTGTGGTATTGTTGTTCAGATAAGTCGCCTAATCGTACTAACTTAGATGGATAAAAACCCATTACTTTATATGTGTGTGTAATTTCTTAGAGTTCAAATCAATACCGGCGATGAAATTAAGTCCCTAGTATTACAACCAGCAGTTCGGGAAAGCTTGCGGAAGACCAAATAAATAAAATACTCAGATATTAGCGTGATATAAACAGTTAGCTAGACAAACAGTATATTAAAATAAGTGTACGTTTACTACTTACAAAGTGTATACGACAACTGAGAATATCAAACTATGTTGACTATTCTGTTTAGTCGGGTTTGATAATTCATAATGCATCGTTTAACGCTAGAACAACGCTTCCAAATTGTGGAAATTTACTTTGAAAAAAATAAATCTGTTCGCGAATTTCATAGAGCACTTCGCCGAAGAATTGTATTTATTGATGAAGCTCATTTCTGGTTAATTGCCTACGTCAATAAGTAAAATTGGCATATATGGAACGAACATAATCATCAAGCATTAATCCTTAACGTATCACCATTACATCCATTAAAATTGACTGTTTGCTGCGGTTCACACGCTGGCGACATCATCGGTCCTTATTTCTTTTGAAAGGAGGATGGTGTTACCGTTACGGTGAATGGTGAACGCTATCTAACTATGCTGATTGAATTTTTGTTTTGCAATTTCCAAAAATTAATCCCTTAAATATCGACGACATTTGGAATTTGGTTCCAACAAGATGGCACAACGGTGCAACTTGTCATTCAGCGCGCTTAACAATCGCTTTATTGCGAAATCAATTTAAGAACAACATTATTTTCAAAAGTGGTCCTGTTAACTGGACCCTCGTTTATGCAATTTAACACCTCTCGATTACTTTTTATGGAGCTATGTTAATTTACTGGTTCATGCCGACAACCGATAAAATAATAATTCTTAAAGCATTGGAAGTCAATATTCATGCCACCATTGACGCCATACGGCCACATTAATTATAAAAAAAGTCTAAAATTTGACAATGTAATTCGTAGCCGCAACGGGCATATGTCGGCGGATAAATCATATTCCAAAAACAAATATCATGAAATTATCTGCCAGGTTATAATAAAAAAAATTTAATTTCAAAAATATTTTATATCTTGTATTACTATTTTAAGTTCTCATGCAGCTAAAACAACACCCGATATATCAACAATAGGAATGCCGGAAGTAGAAAGAACCGTGTATTAAATAAACTCTTGTCTGTTCGTTTCTCGCAATAATTATATGAACTCAAGAAATTGGAAATATAGTAGGTGGGCTCCAACATTAACTGTTCGCGACACTACGTCCATAGATCAACTATTGTATCCTAAGTGGATAGAATACCAAGCTTGTGTATTGGTTCTGATTCTCATATAAAAAGATTATTACAGAATAATGAATGCAGATTGAGTTAAGAATAATATTACTCATGTGTAAGCTTTCAAAGCAAAAGAGCATTTGAAAAGATAATTGTTATTTATAATATACAATGTATGTCTTAACTAAAATATCTTAAATATGAGTTAAAAATGTAATAATTAGTAAAATTTGTTTTAGTATGATTATATCTTTTTATATATCCTTCATACTCGTATTACGCTTAGTAAGCAAGGTTGAGTAACAGTATTAACGGTGTCGTAGGTGCAATAAACCATGGATAGTCACAATGTGTGCGTACCCTTTTAACTCTTGAATCCTTTTTTCCTTTCCTACAAAGGGAATTGAGTTAGTCGAGTTAGTCGAGTTAGTAGAGTTCATTTATTTTTACTATGTGTCGCAGAACAAAAGCATTTTAATTAATGAAATTACATTCTATCTATTTCGTGCTCAAGGCTCAAAATCTAATGTTAAATTGCCTTTAAATTATGGATTGAAAAATCTTTTTTCATAGCCTATTTAGTACAATAATTTCATACACTTCATTTAAAATGAAAGGTGTGGTCTAGAATAGGCAAATAAGGTTAGTGCATGCAAATGAAGTGCCTGTTCACGCCGGAGTAGCATCAGCTACGTACGCTCGTGTAGGTTTGTATATGTATTTAAGTGTATTTATGGATTTTTAATTAAGCTAATATACAATATATAGGTTGGAAAAAATATACTCACTAACCTGTTAGGTTACAACAATAGCTACAAGCACAACAAAAATAGGAAAAACAACAGCTATTGATAAACATATAACACATTAATTACTTAAATTTATGACAATCTCAGTACTTGCCACTTTTTATTAACAAAATTTTTATTTATAATATTATATTATTTGCTCGCAATTATCGGAACTACCTGTGTATACCTGTGAACTGTAAGTTGTCTACTGCACACAGTTTAAGCTGTGAACTTTATATTGTATCTGCCAATGTTCCGTGTTGTTGTGTACGTGTATGTGTATGCGTGTGTGTATGTGTATATTAATAATTTTTTTTCTTTTATATTAAATCCTCATTATCCCAGCTGTACATAATTATAAACGATTTTGTGCGAACGAAAAATGCATATACACAATGTCGCGAATAAGCAGCGTTTGTATGTGTGTGCTTGTGTGTGTGTGTATTTGTGTATGTGTGCTTACTAATTGAGGGAGTAGGGTGGGCAGCTTTTCATTTCAACAACAACAATATTTACTCTACCGTTAAAACCAACCAACCAACAACAACAACAGGTCAACCAAAATAACGCAAAAGGAAAACGCATGCTCTGATTATTGTCTTGATAGACATTGTGTTAGCAATTAAGGGGTGGGACGACACAGGACGGCACATTTAAAGTTTGAAGTTAGTGTTCTTTCTTCTAATATGTTTTGTGATTTAATATTTGTTTTTTTTTTATTCTTCTTTTGTTGCTTTTGTTTTTAGTGTAATTATAATTTTATGTACACACTTCGTGTTGTGCATTTTATTGGCAATTTTTTTATAGTTGCTTTTTTTGTTTTTATTTATTTTTTTATTTTAATTTATGTTTCTGTTTATTTTATTATACATTCACCTTTTGGTTTTTATGCTGTTTATAACAGAGATGGGCGAAGACAATTTACTAATCGTATGCTATAATTATTACGTATACGCATAAGCCGCAGTCAACAAAACATGTTAAGTATGGATTGCGTTTTATGTATGTTAAAATTTAAGATAAATAATGACATTTTTATTTAACTATTATTTTATGCAATTTAAGGATTGCATTTATTTTAAAAATTAAACACATTTTGTTGGAATTGTTAATGTAATAGGGAATGTTTTAAAATGCATCCGTCTTTTGCACAGAATTTTGCAGCACATAAATGCAACAATACAAAAACTTTCTTACTGTATTAGTGTGCCTGCCCACCCTTGAGTAATATCCTTTAACTTTATAACTTTAAGTATTTGATAAGGTATGTGTATTTGTTTTTTTTTTGTTATCTTTTTCGTGCTTAAGAAATAAAAATATTTTCTTTATAGTTTAGTTTAAGTTCTTTTTAATTAACTTATAAATATGTACATATATTCTTATTCAAACATTTCCTTATTAATTTCGGTCATTTATTTCATTAGAAGTGCTATATATGTGCTTCGCCACAGGGGGGAGGGGATACAACTATGTTGAATATCTGCTAAAAATAAATTTTCTTCTTCACTAAGATCTACTTTTTGTTTCAGTTCATAATATTTATGTTATAAATACATTAATTCATTTTCACATATATTTTTATTAATAAAAGCAATTTTTTATTTTTGTTTTCTTTTTATTTTATCTTGTTTTTTGTTTTTGACACCAATCAAATTTATTATATATTAAATATGAGCATAAAAATTAATATAGATATAACAGATTTCTACAGTGTTTGTATGTATATCAACATGCACTGCGTACGTAAAATTATATGTGTACGTACATTTCGTACAGTGACGTTTGTACGTATATATATACCGAATATAGAACATATATGAATGTATAAATGCGCGTATACATACATATCTACAGATCTATATACGCTCGTATGTATATTATAATTTTTTGTCACCAAATGCTTTAAATTTAATACATTTTATTAGTTTATTTAGTTACAAATTACTTACACAAATTCAATTTTGATTTTATTTTTATTTTAAATTAGATATTTTTTGATTTAATACTAACTGTTTGTGTTGTTGCTGTTATCGACGATGTTGCTTACTTATCTAGTAGCTTCAGCTTTAATATATGCAGCACAGAAATTTTTTTGATAAATTAAACTAAAAAATTTCTAATTAATGTATTGAATTAAATATATTTTAAATAATGTATATAGGTTTGTGCACATATACGATTGTTTTCTTTTTTTGTGATTTTCATTTTTTCGATAACATTTTTAAAATAAATTTTCACGAGCGCAACTTTTTCACTTCGACATCGGAAAACAAATTAAAAATTTTCATATGCTTTTCAAATAAATTTGTATTCAAAGTTCTCACAGCTTTCCGTACTGCATAGTAATGCGAAAAGCTCTTTCTTGTTTTTAATATAACACAGCGAGCAAGAGAGCCAACTGAGCACTGAATCGAAAATCGAAAGACTTCGTTGGTACAGGGACAGCGGTGTATAAATTCCTGCAGTCAGAAGTTTTTGTATAATTTCCCTATGCACTTCAAGCAAAACAAAGGAAACAACGGTACTTTGTAGGAATTTTAGTGTTGCCAACTCAAGCAACTCAATAACTTCTTTGCGAATAAATAATATTTATATATTTTACACATTGGAATATAAAAGGAAAATATATTTTAACTTATAACTATTCAGTAAATATTTACAAACTAAACCTGAAAACTATTTGTAGCATATTCTTAATCATTATTATTTTAAATTCGATCCAAAAATCTTTATGTTAATATAGATTTAATATATATAAGTAAGTAGCAAACTAACTAGCCATCGTTGGCCCTTTGCTTTGAATATTCATAGTAATGCTGTCTACTTATCATATTACAATGTCCATTGTATGTATATATTAATCGATGTAATAACTTCGTCTACTTAAATTTTGTTTTCTTTATAACCACTGTCATATGAATTCTCCGCTTTCGTTTCTGATAATTCTATTTGGTCCTCATTACTTTCTACCGGAAATTTTTCTTGAATCAAATTGTTTATGTCAACCTTTATGAAATTATGTTCCGGCAATTCTCATCTATATAAGTGGCAATGATTGAAAGTTCTGTATTTTCTTCCCAAACTTTAATTTGTTAAAAATTTAATGGCACTTTGTCTTCTTCGCTCCATTCGCTATAATATTTTAGCAAGCCATTCCAAGATTTTTTAATATTTAACGAGGATATTTTGTCCCAGGACGTAGCTAGAATCTGAATAGCTTTTTAGTTTTAACTGCAAATTTACATTAAGACCGAAAAGTTTTCGGAAATTCTCATTTAAAATTCGCGCGCTGTATATTTTTCGATATTTTAAGTTTATGTAGTTTGGCAGCACTGTCCTTAATTACTATGCCAAAAATGAGCGCGATCTGTCAGACAGTTCGTTTACGGCAGCTGTTGAAACCAGTTCACCTCAGTAGGGCGTTGCGAAAAAAACAATGGAAAAAAATATTGAACAAAGAGTTTGCATCAAATTTTGTGTTTCGAACGAAATTTCGTGTGCAGAATCGTTGCGAATGCTACAAAAGGCTTATGGGGAATCAGTTTTATCGAAAACTCAAGTTTATGAGTGGTACAAAGCCTTCCAGGACGGTCGTACGACCGTCGAAGACATTTCGCAACGCACTACTGAGGTGAACTGGTTTCAACAGCTGCCGTAAACGAACTGTCTGACAGATCGAGCTCATTTTTGGCATAGTAATTAAGGACAGTGCTGCCAAACTACATAAACTTAAAATATCGAAAAATATACAGCGCGCGAATTTTAAATGAGAATTTCCGAAAACTTTTCAGTCTTAATGTATGTTTATTTATTTATTTGGTGACACAAAAATTCTCTGACCTTTAAAAAGTCTTTTGTGTACACTTTAATTCTACCAAATTTATTAGAGTTAACATACATAGGGAATAAATTCGCAATGAAACCAGTTCTTAAAAATAAATGATGTCATCCACTTATTACTAGATTTATTTATTTCCGGATTATTGAAAAAATCTTTAAGAGCATGAGGATTTTTCGATTTTCTAACCACTAACAATTTCAGTTTGTCTGTGCCATTCGCATTTTAACAGGACAGAAAAATTATTCGTTCTTTACCAACTAAATCTTTCCCTTCCCGTTGACTAACTACATGTGATAAGAGTGTGATTTAGAAGCATCCGATAATATTAACCGTCTCATCGGCGTTGTAGATTTGATCAAGAATCAACCCATGCTTGACCATCCTTGCACAAATAGATTAACAAGAAAATGTTACAAAAAAATTTTTCGTCGGTTATTTTTAAAAATCTGATTCCACGTGCTTAATGTCGACGCTTAAACTTTTTAAACCACCCATTACAGCATTGAAAGTTGAATTAGTTTGGTAAATTTTGGAATTTTGCTTTTGATCCTAAAAGGACATTTTGAAAACATTTATGTATACAAATAAACGGGTACGCGTTACTTTCATAAAGTGGAACTTGTTAGAATATTTATAAGTACTTTATATTAAAATTAAAATTATTTTTAAATTTAAATAAACTTATGCTGGAATCGTCATAGATCATAATCGCGCCATCTATTAGTCAATAGAAATACCACACTGTTTTTTTTTTATCGTTAAGCTTTTCAACCTACAGCATATTAGACACGCAAAATATATTATTAAAACTAACATACCATACCATCGTACCATAAGGCAGTAATAAAATCTATACAATTTTAACAATTTTGCGCCAAGTACTTAATTTTCAACCAAGTGCCTTCATTCTGCCATTTTACCATTGTGTACGTCCTAAACAAATATAGGTGATAGAAGTGCGAGGTCTCCTTAGTAAACCTTAGTTTAATCCATAATTCAACAAAGTTTATTTTTCAAAAAGATTTCACTAAACTCTGCCTAAAACTAGTATACCACCCAACACCTTAATGAATAGTAGTGGCATTGTTTGACCCCTAGACTTACTTCCCACTGTTTTTTGCTTTCAAAGTAAACCATATAGTAAACCAATAGTTTTACATAAATTTTAAATAATTGTATAGATATTATATTATTAAATAAATAACATATATATTACCACTATTTTAAAAATATAACAATTATTTATCCCGCATTTTGTAATGTACTTTCTTTTGATTTAAGACGAAGATTGATTAAGATAAGCATTACCTTAATAATGCTAAACATCGTAATGTTATGTTATTACTTACTTAATGCCACTACGCTACTTAATGCCTTTCTTAAGAAGTGGTATTATCATGCATTCCTCCAACATGCCAGAATATCTTTATTCTGTCACACATTTTACAGGATTAGCTTAATAGTTGAAACGATCGCTTACACATTGTATTAATAGTAATTACAATTTTAATAATTCAGGCGAGATACCATCCAATTCGATATCCCTCACCGCTGTTAAATAAGAAGAGGACCTAAATCTTATTATATTGATCTACCTGTGATGCCTAGTGCTCTAGTTCTTCTACCTGATAGCTCAGGTAATCAGGATTTAAAGCGAGTAGTTGACACTAAAAACTTCGTATTTTATACTATTATAATCAAAATCTTATTTTAATAACAATTTCTCATAATGAAAAATTTTGAATTTCATGCAGTGAATATAGTAAATGTGAATTATTACCTATCATATGTCCAGATATATTTCAAATATTAGTAAGTATATATAAAAATTTAATGGGTTTTTTTTGTACCTATTGGGTTTTTTAACTGCTAAATCGTTCCATTTGATTTTTATGATACACAATCTCTATATAAATGGCCCCAATATAGGCCCATTTGTGATCACGGCTTTATAAGAGGAAATGATATATTTAAAAAGAGAGCATTGATAATTGAAGAGCAAAAATAGATTTTACTTGCAGACTAAGAGTTAGGTTACGAGAAAATTACAAGTGAACTGTTGAATAGAAGATGTGGGGTTTTTCCTTACTCATATGGCATTCGACATATCTCTAATTATCGTTCTCCCAGTCTATGTGTTATAGTATTTCAACAATCCGTCTAATCAGCAAATAGTTTGCATTGAAAAGAATAGTGAGACAAACACAGCCTAATGAACAGCGCTAATTCGGTCCCATTGCAAATGTATTTGTAATAAAATCAGTACTATAATTTAATTAAAAATCATTGCAGATCTTAATCAACATAAAAGTTATAATGAAAACATCGGTGTCGTTAATTTAAGTGTGAATAAAAGTCGAGAACTATTAATTGGAAGTATTTTTCGATATCTAATACTATATTATGGTTAGGGCATGTCTAAAACATATTGGTACGACCAGTTCATCTCCAAGCCCACTTTACTGGATTTAATTGTTAATCAGTCAAGTTAACTCTGCATATTTTAAAGGCGATTTGTTTAAACAATATATCACCGGTATACTCTAGATCATTTAACTTATAGTTTAACAGGACTTAATAGTCTTATAATTTACAATTCTGACTAGAATGTTTATAACTATAAGCATCTATAAAACAAACTCTAAATTTTTAAAATCAAATAGTTTCAAAAAATCAATTAAAGGTTAAACTCCAAAGATTGCCATTAATAAAGCATACAGTGCTGATTTAGTCACAATAAGACTTTTCCAAGCGGAAGCTATACTAATTCGATATGAAAACCCTGCATAGGGCAAGACTTTTCTTATAGCTGGAAAAAGCGACATATCTATAAAATTGAATTTTTTTTCGGGAATTTTGATAATGATGAATTTTGATAACGATGCTATATTAACTAGGGATTATTTATAATATAAGTCCATCCAGTAATCCAATTATTATAAATTACTTTAATATTACTACATACATATTTAATTTAGTAGTCTCTTCAAATTTTTGTATAATAATATAAATAATGAAAATAAAGGACATTGAAAATTGAAGGACACAGCACTCCATGGTATGTAACTTTAAGTTATTAAGTTTACGTAAATATTTACGTAAATATATTATAAAATAAAAAATATAAAGAAATAATTAGAATAGAAAAATAAGTAAACTAGAAAAGTACTTAAAAATGTTATGGTGTGAACCCAGAGTCATAATCTACGTTTGTATTCAGTATATTAGAAAGTGATGATTTTCATAACTTATTTACTTATTTATATTACCT